GCTCTGCCACAGTCTGTGGCTTTGACGCTTCACAGGTGTTCCCTAAGCCGTAGAAAAGAGAAGCTCCGGAGACCCACTGTTTCTCCCGGACAGAGACAAAGGTGTCAGGACAGACACACAGCAAACCCTGGTTTCCTCTCTCACAAACCAGGAGCGTGGCAGCTTTCACAGTTTCTCTGCTTTCAAGGAAAGAGCGACCTGACATCAAGACCTTTTGAGACCTGAAAACTGAGGATGCTGTGTGGAGAAGGGCACCCTCAGAGGGAGTTAGGTTTTCAGCAAAAACTGCCAAGAAAGGACGACGGGTAGTGGCCCCTAATGTCACTGACAGAAACAATCCGGGAGTGTTTTGAAGTGGACTCTTAAACTCTTGGCCCGTTCTTTGCAGGTCCTGAATTGCATATGCAAAGGATGAAACCAATACTGGTGAGAAATCATGGATGAAGTTTTAAAATACACATTTCAGTGATACAGTATGGATAAATTTGGGCTGCATATGGCTTCTTATGTAAAGAAAAATTTCTTCTCCTTTTAGTAACACATTGTCTGCTGCCTGTGCTTAGCACCTTCTGCCATATGCTCCTTAAAACAAGCTGCTGCAATTCAAGAACTAGTCCTAGTAATTAAGATCAAATGAGCCAGATGAAGAAAGTGAGCCGGGTGAACCACATGCCCACGGAGCTCAGCCTTTTTTATATTTAAAAACAGAAAGGAAAACCGTTTGCCAATAGACTCCTCAGAGGGTTTATAGGCAGTACACACTCAGGATTATTGTTAACATTTACGCATGTATTTTGAATTGTCCTCGGCCTGGTCGATGAGCTCCATGGAAATATTTGCCATTGGACCCCAGGGCAATCCTATGGAATACAAATAGTGGCACTCAAGGCTCTCAAAGAAGCACTACGCAATATAATATGGAAGATACTACACAAGAGGTGGAGAGTAAGCCCTTAAACACCTTGGAGGTAATTGGCTTCGCATCCTTATAAATAGAGAGGCAGATGTCCTGAGAGGGCGCATATCTTTCCTGTGGTCCCTGAGCTGGCTAGAGACAGAGCCCCGATTAGAACGTGGGGTTTCTGACTCACCTACTAGCCCAGCGGTTCTCAAACTTGAGCGTGCATCAGAAATTCCTCGAGCGCTTGTTAAAATACAGATTTTAAACTCTGGCACCACCCCCAGAGTTTCTCATTCAGCAGGTCTGGGTCAGAGCCCCAAATGTTGCTTTCCACATAAGATCCCAGTTGAGGCTGATCTCCGTTCACTAGTCTGGGGACCACACTTAGAGAAACACTGGGTTTAGCCCTTTCTTCTTCACATTGCGGTTTCTCATTGTGTGGTAGGACCTATATCAGAACCACCTGGGAGCGGGGATTGCTGATTAGAAATACAGATGATTGGGTACATCTTCGAGTTACGGAATCTCTGGAGGCGCGATGCTGGCGTCCCCATCGTACACAATGATCAGTTATCCCCGCGAATTTCCATACACGTCCAAGTTTGAAAATCCCACTGCCTGACCGCATCGCTTCCCTTCGAAAAGTCAGAGAGTGAACTCAGTGAGATGATAAAATTCACAGTTGTCTGACTTTTACTCCGTCTTCTCAGATTTCTCAGCAAATGACCAAAGGAGTGAAGAAGAATTTAAAAACTGACATCCAAGATGGAAAAATAATAAAGGTGTCATCCTATGCCAGAATTCCTATGATTCTTTTGGTGAGATAGTGTGCAAATGAGACTCATTTGGGCAAGATGTTGAAGAGATCTCTTAGCATCTAGAGAAAACAGGGTGAGGAGGGAGACAAAGTTACAGCAGAGCCCCCACTAATATTCACTGACATGAGGGACAGCTGATGTCAGAGTGTAACATGGGAGGTCCCATCTCCCACTTGGGGTAAATTGCATTTTATGGCACCCATGTGGAGAATCTTCGTTTCCATAGTGACGGCCCGCAGAAAGTCAGCTGTGCGTGAGGACATCGTGACATGGGTAGACAGAGCACCTTGTGAGTGAAGATGGTGAAGGGACACCCTGGAAGTCTAGGGAGAAATTTGAGCACCAACCCAATAGCTTTGCTTGGTAACGATCACAGGGAAAAAAAAACTGCTCATAGATATGATTCCTTTGCTTAGGGCTCCCGAACTGCTGGCTCTATCCCTACTTACAGAGTGAGTGATGACTGAACTGAAAATGACATTAGTCAGCCTTGCAGTGTAAGCCTTCAAGGACGGTTATAACTGTCCCTGGTTGTGTTGTGACAGAATTTAGGGAACGTACTATGGCCCGACAAGTAGGAAGGCCTGAGTCCGATGAACTTTTCCAGCTTCTCTCTGGGCCCTTAGAATTCTATACCAAGCCGACTGTCAGTCATGCATGATAAAAATGGATATTCTAAGGCATTCATAATGAAACCCATATGTACCCTTCCAGAAAATATGGCATATTATAGACAACCAAATAATGAGCATGACAAAAGAAAAATTCAACAGAAAAATGGGCAAAAGGATAAATGGGCAATTCACAGAAGAAATAAAAGTAAGCATAGGAAAACATCCCTAGCTTCCCTAAAGAAATGTAAATTGAAACAATGAAATGCCAACTTTTTGCCCACTGTTTCTGCACAATTTTAAAATGTGAAAACATCGAGAAGGACATGAAGAAATGGTCATTGATACTCTTTTGGGGGGATTTTAGGTTTTTGGAATACAATTTTAGAATACAATTTTACAGTAAGTATCAAAAGTCGTAAAAATATACCTTGAACTAATTATTCTAAATTATAGTAATTCTAAACATGCACTAATAGAAGAGATATAAAAATATTTATAGGTAAGGATGTGTATCATGGCATTGTTTATATTGGTGAATAGTTTGGAACAACTGAAATATACATATATAACATGGTTAAAAATTTTATGTATATTTAAAATGCACTACTGTATAGTCGTTATTGAAGAATATTTAAGGACATTAAATGTACTCACTATTTTTAAAAGATAGTTTACCAAATCATACAATAAGTTTACATAGAAATTCAATATATATCAAAGAAAAAGAACTAGAGACATACGCACCAAAGTGTTTTATTTTTTTCACATTTTGTGCAGTAAAAACGTTGTCTCATTAGTTTAAAAATGTTGTTGGAAACAGTCAATGTCTGGTTATATGCGTTATTCTGCTTTATTACAAGTTGATATTATGTAGCCATTAAAAAGGCAAAAAGCAACTTATAGTTATTGAAATAGAATAATCACAAGATTAATTGTTGGGCAAAAAAGGTAAGACACAAAACAGTTGGCCTGTGACTATGTTAAGAAATAAGAACTTAAAAACAAGGCACACTTAGGTAACACTGGCTCTCCCCTCACTTCAAAAACATAGAAATGGTGAATAAAATATAGTAACCATAATTACCTTCTATACATACCAAGCTCAAAAAAGAAAAGAAAAGAAAAGGCCCAGGTGCTAGAAATTAAGAGGACATGGAAATCAGGTTACTAGGCCCACAAACTGAGGAAGGAGACGTGACCCGTGGAAGTTCTAGGCATAGAAACGGGTTTAAAGGTGTTGACAGTGTGGGGCTAGGCCATGTCACCGTAAGCACCCCCAAGGCAATGAGCAGAACGTGATATCCCTTCGTCATCTTGGAACTGGTGCCCCTTTGTGCATAGGGTATAAATGTAATACAGAATAATATAAAATGTCCATATAAAACTTTTGTGACATAAAATTTAAGACGTGGATAGATTATAAAAGTAATATAGAATAGTACAAAAGCTCTATTGTATACAATATAAAAGCTTTAAATTAGAGGATCAAAAATTGTGCCTTTACTCAGGATTATGGATAAAAATATAAAAGTGCCCTCAGAGTCGAAACTCCAACTTGTGGCATATGCAGGTGTGGAGTCTTAGTTTATCGTGACTCACGGGTCAGGAATTTCAAGCTGAGAAATTAACCTGTAACGGGTCCTGGACCAGTGAGCTTCCTGGGGCAGCTGACAGAAGTGGAGGTAAAACCATTCTTTTAGGACATTTCCGTAACCCAGAGAACCAGGGACTCCCTCAGACACTTCGAAAACAAGAGGTTACATCCCAAGAACTGGGGAAAAGAGGATTCTGAAAGACTAAAGAGCCTTTGATATGCCTAGGACATTAAGAAAGTAAGTAAATTGCAGTGATAGATTGGGACACTTTGACAAACAAGATTTGCACATAAGAACATATAAAATGCTAGATGTTAATAGGGCCATTGAAGCTTTCAAAATGTGGATGAGAGACAGTTTTAAAATTGGTGAACTGGAATATATCCTGAGCACATTTATTACACAGAATATAGTCCCGAAACATTATTAAAAGACATGGAGGTCAGAATAAGAAGCTAATTCCCCGAAGACAGAATAGAGTTAGGGGGTCAAAGAGAAAATGGCTGAGAGTTTTCTAGAATTAGAAAGTGGCACGAAACATCATATTAAAGAGTATGATAAATAAAGACAAATCTACATCTAGACTCATCTTTGTGAAGTTGCAGCTCACCAAAGGCAGACAGAAAATTTCATCATCAGCATGGCAAATGAGAGAAAAAAGAGACACGATAATAGAAAACGCAAAATGAATTTAACTCTATCAGTAATTACATTTAGAGCAGAAGTCCTGAATAGCACTCTGCTCCGGGAAGGGGTTTGTGTCTGTCTTATTAAAACCTGACAGCCTCCCATGTGGGTCTTTGGCTATTCAAAGAAAACAAAGACTTCCAAGTTATTTCCAGTTACATTGGCCTCCTTCTCTTCCGTCACCAAGATCACAAAGGGCCTTGACAATGTGTAGTGGGTCCTGATGACTCAGCCTTCCCCACCGGAGCTGCGAACAGCGCAGGAAGCACCGCGTGTCCTTAGGTGGTACCTGACGCACAACAGGCATGTAATTAGTGTGTGTTTAGAAAAAGCTGCTGAGCAGTAACCTGAAGTTGACATTTTTTTTGTTCATTCAACTTTAAAGGAAAGAGACCTGCAGCTAAATTTGAAACGATGGACAACTTGACCCCAAAAAGGCCTTGCTGCGATCTGAAATCCTGGTGGCTGTCTGAAGGGTGAGGTAAGACCACGGTTATTCCGTGTCGTCTTCGCTTCCATCACAGATTTTACCCTGTCAGTAACTCAGGCTCAGAAAAGGATGCGCAGAAACCCATTTTCTTAATTGAGCACAATGACATGCTTTTTGCATAACCTCTAGGAAAAGAGGTAAGAAAGCCTTCTGCCCTTTGTGGGCATGTTCGAAAGCTCGCTGGTTTGTGAAGAGGAAAAGGTAAGTGAAGTGGATTTAAAAGCACTGAACGCTGAAGAACGTAGCTGCTCCGATGCTCTTTTCTACATAAAATTGTTTTCATATTTATATTCATATGTGTGTGTAGATTTCACATCAGCTGGTAGCCTAGGATCAGAGAGCAAGATTATTTAAGGCAATCTTTGAATCTCAAATGCGAGGTCTCAGGCCACTTATATTCAGAGAACAGAGTAGATAGCAATAAAACAAACACGATAGGAAGAAATTGATGAAACCAAAAGATGGTTCTTTAACATTGGTCAGTGACATTGATAATACTCTTCTATCAAGAGTATCTGAGTAAATCGTAAAGGTAATTTAAGAACTTTGTACCCAGATTTTTTTTGCAATCACCTATATAATTCATCTCAACAATTAAGACATGAGCTCGTCCGGTAAAGTCGAGAAATAAGGTTTTCAAAGAATAAAATATAAAATCATAAACTCTTAATATTGTAGGGCTATTTTATTACTAGATTTGTTGGAGCCTGAGAGACGGAACCAAGAACAGGTAAGTTTTGACCAGGGAAAAGTTTTGAGAGGTTCAGAGAATACATAATGTCCATTTTTCATGAATAAAGGTATACGGTAATAGGAAGAATTGTATTTTATGCTGAAAGATGATACTAGTTGCATTTCTAGAATGTTTTCTCCTCTTGGGACATTTGGATAAATATGTGTAGATTGAAGTGCGTCTTCTCTTGAGCCATATTCTTTCATCTTTATTCCTTAATGTACAATATGATGCAAATGGCTCCGTCTCTCTATAGTCATAAACACAACTGTAGAGCGATAGAGAAGTAAGGCCACTACTCAGAGCGGTTGGATAATACTGTGTGCAAGGCGTGGGATCACACTTGCATCTACATCTACACACCTAGGCATGTGCAGATGATAAGTCTCCAGATGACTGTCTGTGACATTTCACTGAAGTTGAGCAAATGAGATGGTCACCAAAAAAAAGACATCCTTTATGAAAACCCTACTCTGGTTAGTGAGTTGTATGGTGGCCTTACGGAAGCTGTTTGGGCAATTGGAAGCCTTCAAAGTCTCGCTGCCCATCAGGGTGTTGTAGAAGTGAACATGTTTGAGCCTCAGAGGAACCATGTGTAAATGTCAGCCTACCCCAGGAAGTGTGTCTGAGGCTGGAAGTGGAACCAGGTAGAGAGCACAGGTTTCTGTTTGTGAGTTTCCTGGGCAGTAGAATGGTTAATATTGGCATAAGACCCTAGGCCCTGGCTCTTACTCATTTCCCATTGATCCTAAATTTCTACCAGGTACTTGTATCAGGTTTGTAACAGTTTTCTTTGTCTAGAACTTGGACTGAAATGATCTGATGCCTCAGATAGGAACCAGTCTGCTTGGGTTGGGCAGGTCTAAAAAAATTGTTTAAATTTTACTTTCGAAACAATAATTTTTAAACCACTACCTAAAGCCGAGTGACAGCTCTGCATCAGGAGGTGATAGAGATCTGTGCGTGTGGGTGTGTGGGGGGGAGCGGGGGATTTCCTTAGCAAAAGCATTGTTTTAATTAAAAAAGTCATGATTGAAATCTTCACTCTGTACCCAAAATAAAGACAAAGTGAACAGTGGGAGTAACGAATGAATTAGTGAGTGGAAAGGTGGTGAGTGCGAACACTATAAAAAGTATATTGACTGACATTTCTTGGAACATTCATAATGAGAGTGAATGAACAATTCTTCTGTTTTCCTCACGTCCTTGATTTACTCCAGAAGAAATGAGATCGGAATACTGTCATGGGTAAAGGAATCGTTTTTAGATTTATCATAATTGTGATCATTTGTTAATGTCTGTGCTTATTCTTTCGGAACCTGATATGTGATTGAAATCTTTAGTCCCTCCTTGCTCTAAAGTGGTGGGCATAAAGGATTAATCCCCTTATATGGCTCTGTGATGTTCTCTTTCAGGAAAGACCATGAAAATTATTCAAAGAAGACATGTTTAAAAATTCCTAACATAGCTCAAGTTCTCTGTTTGACATATTTAGAGTTTCATGAACACACTATGTTGCGAAAGGAAATCACAAACTTTCTCCATTCCCAAAGAGTTCTTTTTTCCTACTTTCCTATAAATTTAATTTCCCTCAAATTCTACAAATCACGGTCCCTGAAACTGGCAGTTATTTCTAGTTTTTCTCTTTTTCTCACCCCCACACCAATCAATCAATCCCCAACACTTGACGATTTCTCCTTCCAGTCTTTCTTAGGTTGGTCCTCCCACATTGTCATTTAAATTTATTACCCATCATCGCATTTGAAGAATACGCAAAGCCCCAAAATGGCATTCCGGCCTCCAGGCTCAACCCCACTAACCTGTCCGCTACAAAATAATTAAAGCAAATTCATTTTCTTTATTCTTCTTTATTATTTTTTACATAGCTTCCCAATTAAAAAACCCTTACAAGTCTTCCCATATCTTTTATCTGGTCATTCACGGTCCTCCATGGTTAGATCTCTCCTGCACAGGCAATAAAGAAAGCCATGCATTCTTTCTGAAAAGAACTGATTCTGCGATAAAAGTGTTATTTCAAGAGAAGTAGAATCATCTCAGTTTGCAAGCGCACTTCACTATAGAGAGAAACAGGAGATAGGGGCTCTTGCTTAGGTGTCTACAGCAGTAATTCAGGCAGGGGGAACAAATTTGAACTCTAGCGGAAGCCTTAAGACTGGAAAGGAAGAGGTCTGATGTGGGCCGAAAGAGAAATGGAGACATACAAATATCAGGTGTTGTATAGCCCATGTATCTAGCAAAATGATAAAAATACTAACAGAATATAGAAATGGGAAGAAGAGCCAATTTCAGGGCTAGGAGAAGAAAATTCTACTTGAGACATTGAGTTGGAGGGGTACAACCAAATGACAACGGCTACTAGGTAGTCCAGGAGTGGAACTCAGGTGATGGAACTTGCCTGTGGATATAGACCTTAAGTCACCTCCATGGTTAAATTGTTGAGTGTGGATGAGTTTTTCTGTAGGGAGAGTATAGATAAAGGAAAGCAGAGTTAATGAAGACTAATTTTGCAAATCGCCATAGTTAGGGAGTTAGGGAGATTAAAAAAAAATTGGAAAGGGGGAAACAGTGAAGGACAGAGAACACTGCATTATGGTGTCATAGAAACCAACCAAGTGATGAGCATTAGAAGAAGAAGCTCACACTGACAATGTCAAGACAAAGGTAATGAGCAGCCGAGATGGCATGAAATTGATGATGGAGCCATCGGTGTCCTCCATGGAAGCATTATCAGCCCAGTAATAGGGAGGAAAGCCACACTTCAGGATGCTAATAATGGGTAGTGAGGGAATGAAAACTGGGTTTTAAGAAAATGGTCAGTGAACAAAAGGAGAATGAAATGGTAGCCTGAATGTTCATGATGGTCATGCTTTTGGGTTTTTTTCCAAACCAACAGAGATCTGAGCTTATATCAAAACAAAAAATGGAGGAGAGAGAAAGGCTATCGATGCCCCCAAAGTAGGGGCTCGTGACAGAAAGGGTGACGTTAGAGGGGACTGACTTAGAATGTAAGGCAGATGCTCTACTGAACAGGGTAAGAGCATAGATTTAGGGGCGGGGGGGAAGTGAGTGTCAGGTGAGTAAAGGGTAACATCAGTTGTTAGAACGAGAGTGATATGGAGGATTTGAACAATCACTTGCTCTGTGTACTCAAAGTTTAAAAAGAATCCAGTAGAGTTGTTAGAGCAATAATAAAAGCCTAGTTGAACTCAGTGACGTGGCTTTCGGATGACAAAATTCAAAGCAACCACGTAACTGTCCACAAACATTTACTGCTACCGCATCAATTACTATATAGCTAATTAATTCACAAAGATTGATGAAGATAAAATTAGGATAGTGAGATACTGGAAATTTTTATTTCTGATCCTACGCACTCACACTCAACGTGAGCCAAGGCCCTGGTTGCCAATGGTTTCTACCGCTGCGATTCCGAAGAAAGCTGTTTCTCATTAGTCAATTAGATCAAAAACACATTGTTACTTTCAACATTAGCAAAAGCCACATGGTCTGCTGCAACAAAGCAGTGGATTAGGGAGCATAAAATCTTTACAAACTAAGCAAGGCAGTAGGAATAGTAAGTGCTTCCTCTCGTGCACCTTCGGGTTCTGAGAATCGCTTTTGCTTAAAAAGTAGAATTGATTCTGAAGAAAAGTGACTGTTCTTCAGAAAGACCAGAAAGTGAGACATAGGTGAAGTAGAGATAGAGCTACATGAGAGAAGCATGAGAGAAATCTGGGAAAAGTAATAATATGCTGAGGAAAAAAAAACAATTTAGGAAGTAGGAAACCAGTAACTGTTGTGATTAATTAGCTGAGAGGCCGAAAAACAAGACAAAAACCCCCAAAACCCCAAGAACTGGAAATCCAACCAAGTTGGATTTCAGTTGAAAGGAGGACCATTTTCCCACATGCATTTTTCTCTTTATTAAATAAAAATCGAATTGAAATTTGCATGTAGCTTCCCAGAATACATCTGGGAATGTCTCCAACCTTGTTCTGTCACTCACAGAGTCATTGAACTATTTCACAGCATACGTTTGCCTTTCACTTAGGTTTATAGTAAGCTGGGTCATCACAGAAGAGATTTTTCCTGTATCTTTGATCCCTGAATGTGGCCCATTCCAGAGGGGACATGTGTCTAGGTACTTAAAGACAAAGAAATTAACCTGAATTCATTTTGCTGTAAGCCTAATGACATATGTGATATGTGTAGCCTCTGGTTATGAAAACAACATGAT